AATAGCAATAAGGATTATAACTTTTGGGAGGAAGGAAGTATGATTCCTAACATTTTTAGATAATCTGTAAATAAAATGAATAGTAAAATCAGCTTTAAAATTATTGACACTAGTAGAAACATTCAATAAGGAGGCTAGGCAGAAAATAATGTATGACAACTATGTTTATATTCTTACATACCAGTGATAATCAGATAATCTAATACTGAAAGGTTTTCTTCACCACAGTAACAAAAAAGGAATAAAATCAACAAATACATTAAAATTATAAAATTTAACTGAAGGTCTTAAACGAACATGGTGAGATATTATAGGAACACTTAACACTGTAAAGATATACATCCTCCCTAGATTGTATTATGGATTAAAGCAGTTTCAAGCCAAACTTCAATGGAATTAATTTGGAAAACAGAATCTAGAATTCCTGTAGAATACTAAAGTGACCAGGTGAGAGTATCTAAAATATTTTGATAAGAGTAATAGATGTTTTTTTTTCCCTACCAGAATACATATTATAAAGCTTCAGTGGGGCATCAATTGTTCTTTGGTTGCATTGCAACAGAGACCAACTTTGGTTAACTTAAACAGGGACTTCAGTATGGGAATCATGTTCACAGAATCAGAAGGAAGGCTAAGGAATCAAACTGAGAAAGCATATGGATCCCAGAGTCTCTCCACAGGTCTTGGGAGCAGAACTGATGCATGAAGTTGGGATGAACTGGCATCAATTATTTTCATTCTTTTAAAAAACTATATTCAGGATTTAAATACCAGGAGGAGGACATTTAGTTGAAAGAGGTAATTCACCCCCCAATAAATCCCTCCCAGTTCTAGCAAAATTAAAACCTCAAAAAAGAATTCTTATAAGGAGATCAGTATGCTGGTAACCAAAAAGTGTAATAACTCTAAGACCAGACTGTATGAGTATTGTATTAGAACTAATATAGATAGATAGAGAGAGATATCTATATCTATAGATAGATAGAGAGAGAGAGAGATTGGCTTCCCTGGTTCTGAGTTTTTCAGACTTGGACTAAGCCATGCTACTGGCACCCCAGGGTCTCCAGCTTACAGATGGTCTGTCATGGGTTTTAGCTTCCATAACCACACAAACTGGTTCCCATAATAATCTCCTCCCATAGATCTATATAGATATAGAAAACTTTAAATATATATAAAAGTAGACATAATATAATGAACCTAATATCCATCACCATCTTCAACATTGATCAATTTATGAACAATCTTGTATCCTTATACCCCTACTGATTTGTCCTCCTCCCATATTATACTGAAATCTCCAGCCATCATATCACTTTAACCTTAATTTTTTCTTATGATTTCCAAAAATAAGAGGTCCTTTATTTGAAGTTGCATTATCGATATCATATATAAATTGCTTACTGATAATTACTGAATATAGTCAAATATCCAGGCATTATTCAAATTTTAAATTGCCTCATAAATGGCATAAATGTTGTATATGTTTATAGTTTGATTCTGAATCTCAAATAAATCAACATGTCTATATGTCTCTTGAGTCTCATTTAATCTACACGTTCTCCATCTGTATCTTTCTTTTTTTCCTTTTAGTATATTTTTGAACACATCAAATTATTTGTGCTATAGAGTTCCCACTGGTTGTGAAATTTCAGAACATCAGAGATAACAATGTTTCTTAGTATGGATCTTTCTTATTCAGCGTGCAGGACATGTAGTGGTCGTTTTAGCCAGGAAACTCATGTCCTTCATTTTCAGGAATTCTCTTATGTTATTTCTTCACAAAGCCTCCTCAGTTTTTTCTTTTTTCTTTTCTTCCTTTCTGAGACTTTTATTATTCAAGTGTTAGACCAACTCAATTGATACTTTACTCTTTCCTTAACTTTCTCTTTGTCTTTTTTTGTTGTTGATGCTTCTTAGGAGATTTGTTTGACTTCACTTTCTAATTGAATGTTTCCTTTTTTCTTTTTAATTTCTGGGAGCTTGTTCTCTGTGTCATTTTTGTATTATCCTGTTCCTACATTATGACTGCAGTATTCATTTATTCAGTAAATATTTATTGGAGTGTCAGGCACATTTCTGGGTTGTAGAGGCATAGCAGAGAAAAAGAAAAGCCTCCTCCTGCTTCTCCCCCTCCCTTTCCTTCTCCCCCTCCTTCTTCTCCTCCTCCTCCTCCTTCTACACAGAAGGATAGCAGAGAACAAAGAAAAGCCGCCTCCTTCTCTTCTTTGTCATAGAGGCATAGCAGAGAACAAGGAAGAGCCTCCTCCTCCTCCTCCTCTTTTTTTTTTTTTTTTTTNTTTTTTTGTGAGACAGAGTCTTGCTTTGTTGCCTAGGCTGGCGTGCAGTGGTGGTCTCAGCTCACTGTAACCTCCCCCTCCCAGGTTCAAGTGATTTTCCTGCTTCAGCCTCCTGAGTAGGTGGAGTTACAGGTGTGTGCCACCATGCCTGGATAATTTTTTGTATTTTTAGTAGAGACAGGGTTTTGCCGTGTTGCCCAGGCTGGTCTTGAACTTCTGTCCTCAAGTGATCAGCTCGCCTTGGCTCCCAGAGTGCTAGGATTACATGTGTGAACCACTGTACCTGGCGGAAAAGCCTCTTCCTCCTTGATGTTGATATTTCAGTCAGGAGGAATCACATATTAAATGAAACTGTATAGTGTGTTAGTTGGTGATAATTCTGTGAACAGTAATAAAGGAGTCCAGGGGAGGTAATGAGTAATAGGGTATCCTTTTATATTGATGGTCATGGAAGGCTAACTTGATAAGGTGACATTTGAGCTGAGACCTGAAGGAAGGAAGGGATTGAGCTATATGGATATCCCAAGGAAGAGCATTCTAGGTAGAAGGAATAGAAGGTGTAAGACCAGAGTTGCAAGCGTGTTTGTAATGTTTGAGGAATAGCAAGTAGGCCTTTGTGACTGGAATAGAATTAGCAAGAGAGAGACTAGTAGGATATATAGAATGGTAGACAGATCATACAGGATTTCGAAGGTCTTCCATAGCTCATTGTAAGAACTTTGGTTTTTGTCTAAGATAGAAAGCTATTGGGAAGTTTTGAGCAGGGGAGTGATATGTCTTTTCTCATTTATATTTTAAAAGCATTATTCTGGACACTCTTTGATAATAAATTATAAAAGACCATTCTGGAGACTATTAAAATAATCTAGTTGACAGATTATTGTATTTTAGACAAGGAAGTAGTAGAGGAGGGTTCTGTCTTGCAAAAATGTATCCACATTTGACCATCCCCTCTACTACTAGCTTGTAGTAGATTATGCAGTTGAGATGGTCAAATTTGGATATACTTTTGCAAGATAGAACCCACAGAAATCGCTGATTAATTGAACCTGGATTATGAGAGAAAAACAGGGAGTAAAGAATAATGCCAAAGATTTTGGCTTGAGCAGACAAATGAATGGCATTTCCATTACTGAAATGGTAAATAATACAAGTGGAGTAAGTTTGGGAGAGGTCAGGAATTTGGTTTTAGATATGTTAAGTTTGACATTCCTTTTAGACATTCAAGGGGAGATGAGGGGTAGGCACTTGAATACGTGAATATTGGGTTTAGGGAAGCCTTATCACTATAGGGTAACAAGGACATGTAAAAAGTTTCGTTGGAAAATTTTGAAATATTACAATCTATAAATCTTTTCTCTGTATTTCTTTCATTTCTGCAAAGGGATGTCTGCTAGTTTCAGGTTTCATGATTATAAAGTGAAAGAAGGAAATGGAGGAAGAATCGAATTATCATGCTGTTTAGTATGCAGACTTCCCCCTGGTTTTGTTCTGGTACACCCCTCTTTCTCCCTCTCCATGTGTATTTCTGTGTTCAGCTTCTGGTTCAGGTTTATGTTCTTTAGATGATAAACCTTTTGTGAGGGCTAGGGATATTTGTTTGGCTACTTGGGGTAAGGGTGAATGCCTTGAGGTCTGATTTCTTACAGCTATGAGTAAAAAAAAAAATCTTTGTTGAGATGCAATTTGCATACTATAAATTTGTTCATTTAAAGTGTACAATTCAGTGGTTTTTAGTATATTCACAGCATTGTGCAGCCAACACCATAATCAATTTTGGAACATTTTCATCATCCAATAAGAAACACCCCCCTACACACGTGCACACAGAAACCC